ACTGTTTATTTGAGAAATACTCGATTGAAGGTAAACTATGGATTGATTGTCTATCCGATCTGATTCGGTTGAACAAGTTACGAAAAACATCGATTTTTATAACAAAAAAATTTATCAATAAATTTATTTTCTCATTTAAGATGGAAAATTTTTTATAGAAATTTATGATTTCTTTCGATTGGAGGATATTCAACTAATTAGTTGTAGGTATGAGTCATTTCAAAGATGATTGTGATGATTCGCTGAGCAAGTCGAATTAGAGTAAATAAATTATTCCGAAAACCGAATCAAATCTAATACATTTATCTATATCAATTGAATATGAATCATATAAACATCAATAATAAATGATCAAAGGCCATATAAAAGTAGATTTCAGTGTTTTTATTACGAAAATAATTCAACATATATTTGCGTATGTTTATTTGATCTATGAATCGGACGCGATAAACCTGTCATTAAAATCTATTTCTGTCGTAGTTTTATATTGTACAGATCAATTGTTTTCTCATATTCACAAGAGAAGAAAACAATCAAGTTAAGTTTCTAAGACATTCATGTACTCAGTTGTTCCTTTGTCGGAGCCAGATATGTTTTCTATATCTCAGTATTCATCGTTCTTTTCCCATCCTACATGTTTGTTCGCACCGCTGTCAATATATCTAGATAGAATGGCAGAATGAAGATAGCTGATGGATAAGGTATCAAACTTCTGTCAGTAAAGCGCACATTATATCGAACAGTCTATCAATAATTTATTGTTCGGTTTGAATCACATAAAGTATTTTAGTCTCTATTTTAAAATCATTTATAATGTGTTACATTGAGAATAGACCTTTTAATATGTATAACATATTTTCTATTCACTAAATCAAATCATGTTTAAATTAATGATTTAAAATTAATTTATTTTTCAAAAACTTATTATTAATCTAAGATTTAAAATATGGTTATTTAGATCTATTAAATTTGTAATCAAATGACATCCTATGAAACTTCGAATTTTGAACCTCTTGTTGTTCTGCATTTTTCTCCTACAACACCAGATGCAACTAAAAACTGGGTGATTAAACGATTAACTGCAAAACAAGATGAAGATGATGGTGCGGATTTATTGGTTCGATATGATACTGACCCTGAAAGTCATGTAAGTACTGATGTTTTCTTTTTTTTTTTTCATATTAATTTTATTTTTATCATCAATTAGAATAATATTCTTTTAATCGGTGCAACACTAAATCGTTTATTACTTGGTGCCGAAGAATTACGAATTAAAAAACCGTATAAAAATGATACTTTACGTGAATTTCTTATTAATGATATAGATAATTTTGATAATTCTGGTACATATATTTATTATTATTTTCTTTTTAATAATAAAATATATTCATTTATTAGGAAATCCAGATAGTTTTCTACTTAAATCTGAAAAACAACTCATTATTTGGGATGAAATACAAAGTGTACTTCCAATGCAACATGAACATAGTGTACCAGGTGTACCTACAAAATCAATAATACCTAATAGTGATACAATTCGTATGTAAAACAAATTGAAAAATAAAATTGACATAATTTTTTTATTAGTTGGTCTTCTTCGTGACCTTGATTTTGTTATTAGTGTTTTTCCATTACATGATAAAGAAGATATTAAACTAATTGAACGTGATTGGTTTATGGGACCATATTCTTTTTTTAAACCACAAGATATTCGTAAGACAATTGTTCTTAACAATGGAAAGTAAATTTTAATAAGCTATTTTTTTTTATAGATAAAGTGCGAAATTATTTTGGTGAAAATGTTGCATATTATTTTGCATTTCTTGAGTATTACACAAAAGCACTTATACCTACTGCAATATTTGGTAAAGTTCTTCTTTTTATTCAGTTTAAAATTATCGTCTTTTTTGTTTTTCTTTACAGGCTTTTTTGTTAGTATTTGGCCTGGTTGGGATTTTTTTAAATATTCATTATTTTGTATTTTTAATGTTATTTGGTGGAGTGTATTTGTAAGTAATTATCATAAACTACTTTATTGAAATTATATGATTTAAATCTTAGATGGAACAATGGAAGCGTTTAAGTAATAAACTTGCTTATCAATGGGGTTCATATGATCTTAAAATCTTTGAACGTCCTCGAGCAGCTCATTATGGAGATTTACATCGTTCACCAATAACAAATCAAGACGAACGAGTATATCCTAGGTAGGAACAAAAAATATGAATCCTATGACAATTAGAGATTGTAGAGTAAGCTTTTCTTTTACTCTATAATCTGACGAGAGAAATGTTCTTACACTTACTTTTATGATATAGAACATCTACTCATTTTAGAAACAAACAATAATAAATGAGCTCTTACGCGTTAAAATGTGCGCTTGTTACACTTTCAAACTATTCTTTTGACAAAAATAAGGAGTGTGAAAACAATGGTATCCACAGATTTACTCTTAAAAAAAAAACTAAAAATTGTTTTCTCATCGTTTGTTTTTTAGCGTAAAAGTCGCATATTTTAATACGTTCAAATGAGTCTTTGTCCAAGTGAGTACTCTTACCAAAGAGTATTGCAATCGAAATACATAGGGTAAATTTTTATTTTTCGTATGCTGTATCCTAACTAAGAAAAGTATTCTCATTTTTACTCTAATCTAGCCTGTAGTGGAAGGGCAAAGATAGAGAGTAACCTTACACATCTGTAAGGTTAATTTTCTTAATTCGTTTATTGTTTAGATGGAAACGAATGTTAAAAAAATATTTAGTTACATATCCAGTAATAATGTGTTGTTTAGCTTGTTCACTGTGGATTTATTTTGCTTATTATCGAATACAAATAAAAGCAGATCATAATTATCCATTAGATGGTTCTTTACTTTCTATTCATGCTAAATTAATGCGTACAATGCCATCAGCTGGTTATTCATTACTTATTATTCCAATGAATTTAATTTATAAAAAGATAGCTACATACCTGAATGATTTTGGTAAAAGATAAAATATGAAATAAGAAATTTATTTATTGTTGTTTTCGAATTATTTTAGAAAATCATCGTCTTCAAACAGGTTATGAAAATAATTTAACATCGAAATTATTTGTTTTTTATTTTATGAATTGTTTTATTGGACTTTTTTATGAAGCATTTTTTAATGTTAATTATGGAAATGTTGTACAAGTAATGAAATGAATTTATTTTATTTTTGAAAAATTCAAAAATATTGATGTTTTTTTTTAGTTACTTATATCATTGGTTATTTTGAATGCTATTTTCTTAAAATTTACTGAACAAATTGGTCCATATGTACTTATACGTGTTAAAAAGAAGCAATTAGTTGATGGAAAATCACAAAGTAGTCAAGTTAGTGATGCAGTAAAACAAGCAAAAACATTAACTCCATTTGAAGTAATAAAAAGATATATAACAAATGATATTTTAAATTAGATTTGGGTTATTTTTTTTAAGGGAACATATGGAGATTATTTGACTATCTTTGAACAATATGGTTATGTTGCTTTATTTTCGGCAGTAAGTCTAACAGAATAATGTGAAATTATCTATGAACCTTGACGTCTATGTGTTCGATTCTCGGTGGTTTCAAAGATTGCAATAAATAGACATTAGTAATGTTACTAGAAAAAAAGTTGTAGACAGGTTTCAGTTGCCAACACATGTCTGTGGCGGAGTAGAGACCTTCTGATCACCTTCCTAGAGAAGGTTCAAGCCTTTTTTTAAGCGAAGCTCAGCCTCTGGTAGAGATAGATGTGTCTCGTCTAGTTACACTGCTAAGGGGAATGTTGACCCTAGTTATGGCAAGAGATCTATCAACACCATAACGTAGTATATTTAAAGATGTTTGTAGATAATAGACGTGAATCTATTATATGTCGTAGAGGTTTCGTTAGACGCATTTTTGAGAATAAAGAGATTCTCTTTTACGATACATAAAAAAAAAGAAATAAGTTTTCATTTGTTCTGATGTCGTTAATCATAACAATAGTTTCTCGATAATCTTCATATTAAACCTACACATTGAGTAAACTCGTAGTTATTTATTATGTTTTCACTAGATTTTTCCATGGGTCACAATTTGTGCATTAATTAATAATATATTTGAACTTCGTGCTGATGCTTTTAAATATTGTCATGTTTATCAACGTCCATTCGCTCAACGTGCTTGGAATATTGGTCAGAAAGTTTGTTCTATCATTAACATTCTTTTAATATGTATTTATAGGCAGTTGGCGTCACGCATTTGATATATTAAGTTCAATCGCTATTGTTACAAATACAGCATTAATTGCAATGCAACCATCAGTTCGTGAATATTTTTCTTCGTATACAGATGCTCAATACTTTCTAATTTTTGTTGCTGCTGAAGTATAACTATTTTATATATCTTTTTTTTCTCTTATGAATTTATTTTTTTTTGTTTTTATTATAGCATATTCTTTTAGCATTGAAATTTGCTATTGGTTTTGCTATTCCAGGCACACCAATGGAAGTTCAAATTGCTAAAGATAAACATCTCTACGAATCTCATCAAGCGTTAAGACTTGAAGTAAAAAAAAACATATATTTGAAAATAGATTATTGAATTTTTATATTCTTTTTTTCTTTCTAGCGTGAACGAAGAGCATTAAAAGCTCAAATATCTATACAGAAACTTTAATATATTAACTATTTTTATTGGCATATATTTTTTTTCCACATAACAATTCTTTCGAGTGTATCCAAGTCACCTTTTCATACTCAATAAATAATCTCGCATGATTCTTTCTCATACATAATATCTAGAATCTTTTAGTGGTAGCCTTCATGACTTTCATATATATTTATTAGTCTACTTGATAATAAAAAGTGTTTTTTTTTGTGAAATAAATCATATATTTATTACAAATGGTTAGTATGAGATATTTTCTTTTCATTGTTGAACTGACATAAAGGAAGAACCATATACTTTCCAGTGCCAGATTCTGACGCTAAGATGGATCTCTCGAATATTTTAATATTTCAGTGTAATCTTGTCTGTAAGTGGATTTACGATACTGGTTTCTGATGATATAGCACCACTGTCATTTTTCGTTGATATTGCTAGACCATCGTCAACATGTATTCGTTCTATTGTTGTTTTTTTGTCGTTCATATGATTGATTAGAGCATCTTGATTAATGACTGATAGAGTTTTTTTCGTTAAATGATGATGACGATGGGATATACCTTCAATTACATCATTCGATATAACTGTTATACCTGATTCCTGTTGAGCTTCAGGTAACTCATCAATATCAATAATTATACTTTGTGGTTGATCAAATATAATGTTTGTATGTGCTTGAGTCTGATCAGCTCGTTTGATAAGTATTTGTGCCAGAACAAGACCAAATAGAATAATAATTATGACAACAATGAATGCAGCAAGCAAAGAAATGAGAAAAGTTGCCATTCTATTGATTTGATCGATAGTATATATTTAGATATGGAGTGAATCTATGATAAATTCAACAAGTAGTAGTGACTTTTGTCATTGTTGTTAAATTTCAGTGAAAAATGATTTTAATATCTGAAATTTATAAACAAAAAAATGATGAAAAACGAAATAAAACAATTGTTGCTGTGTTGATTTAGTTCTGGGCGATTGAAAAGTACAGCGCGCTTTCTATATCGTAAATAGAATTTTCCTTAGGAATCATATTTTCATACAATTATTACGTTTGACAAGCTCTCTTCCTCTATTGGATTTTTTTTATAGATCGTATTGATATCATTAAAAAATGCTTACCATCAGTATATAGTTCGATGCACTACTACATATTGATCAACGAAAATCACGTACATTAATTAATAGAAACGTTCTTTGATTTGTTTTGCATGGAAGACATTTATTGAACTATATGATATCTTCTTACTAGATATAATTTCAAATAGACATTACAAGAAAAATATTAGTTAGTTAAATTCAAAGAGTAAGAATCGTGAATAATTATAATTGAAGACTCAATTCGTATCTATGTGATATTTTATCGTCTTTTCTTTCTGTATTCAATTTTCATGAGTCTGATTATCCATGATGATCTGTACGAATAATTAGAATCGAAGAATAACTTTATACTGCATATATGTATATCAACTGATAATTAATAGTGTCAAACTTGAAAGTTGAATCCAATTGTTCAACTAGTCTTGAAATCTTTGAGAAATATGTCTTGTATGTGTGTTTCACTAGTATCCTTGGCAAGAGAAGATATTAATTCAGTAGAATTCAAACTTGTTCAGTTAAATTAAAACAAAAATAGTGAAGTAGTTAAATCCTTGAAGTTCAATTATGCAAGTTTCAAGTTTGACACATACAATTATAAAACAAGGACTAAAAGATAAAATTAGTTGTGAATACTTCAATTGCCGAAGGAATAGGAATCAGCAGGACCACCTCTTTTTTGGTCCCAGTTCCAGTCTCAGTTGAAACTTTCTATTGCTTCTGATCCTGATTTCATTTCTAGAAAAAGCCAGTTTTCCTAATACTCTGTGTGATTCTTTGAATACACACAAAATGAAAATTGATGGTCTTGAGAAATTAACAGTTATGAGCATACATTTATATGCATGCATCAATACTCTAAAGATAAACAGCACCACTCTTTTGTCTTCTTCAAAAATTTCCTTGGCTCTGGCCGTGTGGCTTAGAAAATTCTCTCGAAGCTCACAGTTCTGGCATACAGACAAGCTCTAAATGAATGAACGTCAATCAATGTTCATTCAAGAGTCTCTTTGATGATGTCAAAATTTAGGATCTGCAGAACTATGAGTACTACTATTAGTAGAGATCTCTAAGGTGATGCCCGTTCAGGATCGAAAAAAGGTGATTTTGCAGATTCATCATTTTATCTCAAACATAAATAAAAAGGGCCTATTTGTAGATCATTAGTCAGAATCGAATAAAAGTGTGAAAATATGAAATCTAATTCTTGAATAGAAAATATACCGGGATCAGTTTTAGAAAGCTTTAAGTCCCGATCCCAGTCCCGTAAAAATTAAAATTTGGCCCCGATTATGCTCCCGACGGAACCGGGACCAGTTTTCACACCCCTACAGAGGAAGCAAGTTACAGTTTAACAACATTTGTAACAAGAATAATAGCTGAATCAATTTTATCATCCATTATCATACTAATTGCACTATATCGGATCGTGTTAGATGCTAATCTACATGAACAAATTTTAAATAATGGAGAAAACAATAGATCAGATTTTTAAAAAAGACTTTTATTTATGGACTGTTTTATATACAGAGTATTTCAAAAGTCTACTACCAAACCAACGTGAATAACTCTTAAACAATATTAGCGCTATGACTCACGTCAGTTAGATATTCAGCAGCTTTTTTCTAGTCTTCGTCCTTATTACCATTGAGAAATGACTAGTCAATTTTTCAAAGCACAAGTGCACTACCACAAGGAAAATACATATGTTCGATTAATGACTTAATAGTTTTATTTTTAATACGACGTGTGTGAAGACAAGAATGACAACTATATTATGAATGTTTTATCTAATGCTAATTAATCTTTTTTGTTTATCGACACTATGTACAGAAATTACAGTGGCAAGGTCAGTGTGATTTAGTTTTTTTTAACGATTATTGAAAATTGTTATCAAATTAAAAAAACATACTATATAAGAAAAAAAACCATCTTCCGTCATTTTTGGAAATAGAACTTTAAAGTTTTACCTTTTCATTAATCTGCAGATAGTCAAACAAATTTCCTTTTCATATTCGACTTTAGTATTTATACTTAACAGGACCCCTATGCTTGCTCTTTGCTATTTTTCTTGTATGAGTTACAGAGGTGGGATCGGTTGGCGTTTTTGCCAAACCGAACCGACCGTAACCGAAAAAATCTCTAACCGAACCGAATGTAACCGACCGAATATTTAAAAATTTCTAACCGAACCGACCGTAACCGACCGAATTTCAAAAATTTCGTAATCGAACCGAGTTTAGAGAAAGCGAAGTTTAGCTTATGTTAATTAGGGTATTAGTGCCTTATAAATTAGTAACAACAAATCGAGCAGTAGCAACTATGAGCAATCAACATCTAGAGAAAGTAACGAAGAAAGATTATTTATTGAATCCTCTTACTGTATTATAACTTTCTTACCTCTCACAACAAATTTAAAAAAACATGTGAGATAATACGAGTTACGAACAACAGCTAATTGTCGTACGATTACACTCTTTTTTCTTCTTATGTCGCAAAAAGTCCATCGAACTCAAATCAAAAGATTATGTCGATTCTTTCTAACCGAACCGATCGTAACCGACAAAATCTCTAACCGAACCGAACGTAACCGACCGAATTTTTTAAAAATCTCGAATCGAACCGATTTCGGTTACGGTCGGTCGGTTCAGTTCGGTTAAAAACCGAACCGGTCCCATCTCTGATGAGTTAATTTGAATTTTTGTTGTAAAATTTCTGTGTGCTGATCTTTTTGATTTCTCATTATTTATAAATATTAAAGTAGAATATTATTAAGTCTCAGAACTTCAGAAGAATCTAAGCAAATGCTGTTTGTAAAGATCGGCGCATTGTTTTGTCAAGAATATAAATTTAATAAGCGCATATTACAGAAGTAGAATGTGAACAATATTATATCGGTATATCTTTTTCTCATAGGGCTAGTTTATAAGTGTAACATTGATTAATATGAGTCATTAGAGATTCGAAAGAATTTTTTGTCAAAAATATTCTCTTGAGAAGAACAATTTATTTTTCATTTAGTTGTGTTCATTTCATTTTAAAGCATGTTCTCTGTGAATATACCCATTTTAGCTGTTGATGATGATGAGATTGGCATGATTTTATACAAAATAAGGCTGTTTGATGTGAAATACACCTTGTCGAGGTATTTTGAATGAAAAACATTTGAAAGAGCAGTTTATATCTACATTTTTCTTTGACGATTTCGAAACTAAGATTTATCGATCAATATCATTACTAAAAAAACAAAATGAAAATATTGATATTGATCATGTTCAATTTATCCATAATATGTTTTTCTTTTTTTTTTCTTTTATTCTTGCTTTGTTCTCATCTAATCATGTAAAACAGTTTGTTTAAATAAATCTGAAAAGACTTGAATCCACAATAATGTTCTGATTATATTCGCATATATTCATTTCTTTGAAATATCATGGATCGATTGTTCAATAAACATCATTATGTGCCACAATGAACAATCAAGATTAATTATCATCGAAGTCATATAGGGTGTAGAATTCATCTCACCCACACCCGCAAACCAGTTAAAGTTTGTTACCATAACAGAGTCGAGTGAAGGTCAGCAAGAAACACTCAAATCTTGCCAGATACTTCGGTTGAAAGAATTTTAAAAAAGAAAGCAAAAATTGACACATGATAACAAAATGCAGCATATTATTTGTACTAAGAAATCCAGAAGGAGTTTTAGCTTTACAAAAAGATCAACGAACAGAATGTGAAATAGAATTGTCAATACTAGTTTTTCTTAAAAGTTTATCCTAGAATCATTTTCAAACCGCCACAATAAAAATATTTAGGCAACAAATATTCAAAAAAATACTAACTATTATCACCCTGTGATTAAAAAAAAATTAGCAAATAGTATGCCTCTTTGCTAGGCGATATTTGATAGGAAAGGATTATTGCCGAAAAATGATTCATTTGATATCACATAATGATAATGAAAAGAAACAAACATAAACAAAAACAAAGAATTTATTTGAATAATGAGTTATATGATAAATATATTACGGAAGTAGATTATGTAGAAATGGTATATTTTAATATGATGCCGCCTCAAACCCAAGAATAAAGATTGAATTACGAACTAATGATGAATTATTTGATGATCGAATTTCACCTCAATATGATAATGTTAAATTTGCTCACGTTTGGTCCATGGAAAATTCAGAGTAAATATTAAAGGAAAAAGTGCGATGAAAACCATGTTCAAGCTTTGAACAGTCTGAAAAATTAGATTACACCAAGAATAAAAAAAAATAATAATTTGTTATAATTGTAAAAGGATATTTTCTTCTAATCAGATTCATATGCATATTGATAAAATAATGTTTTTCTTTCCTTTTCTTAATAAGATACTTTGTTGATTGATGTTGAAAAATTTATCATCATATTCTCACATTTATATTTTTATTATTACAAGAGAAGCTGTCATTCAATACAATGCCAATTGAAAGATTGACATGGGTACTCTTAGCTTATATAGATGGATCAGATTAGGAACTGTTCTCTGTTTGCTTAAAAACGCATCATATGTGGAATCTCAAGATTTATGAAGCATTTTGTCCAGGTAGAAATAATCAAATTTATCCGTTTTCTATCGCTTTGTCATTTATCAAATATAATGATTTTACTAATAAGATAAAGAATATATTTGATTTTGTATT